GCGCTAGTTCGCCGCGTAGTTGGTTATGCCGGCGGGTTTTAAGAGCTGATTAGATCTCATTCGAGTGTAGGAAGGACTCCGATTCGGAGCTGTTGCATGTGCCTCATTTACGACCGTCCAGCAAAGTTGCTACGGGTTTTTGGAAAGCCGGCCTTCCAAGAAACCGCTTCCTTTCGGATGCAGCATTGGACGAGAGCACATCGCGTCGGACGTGTCTGTCTTGCCTGCACCCTCCTTAGAGCTGGAAGAATGTCTTTGAAAGACCTCATGAGAGCCTTTTAAGTTGAGTTACTGGGGCATTAAAGGTGTTCCTTACACTCACCTTCAGCCCCCAATTATCTTGTGCCTCAGATCCTAAAGCCTGAATTTCTCTGCCAGCCTCCAAGTAAATAATTCTTGCCGGCTGTGGTTGAATTCATTAGCATTTTCAGTTGGCATGCCTCAATTTCAGTTGATACTCCGGCTTACTTTATCTTTTTTTAGTGTAACAATGCTTACGATAGACTGGGTTTTTCTAACTTTTTCTCTCCGCTCCGCTTGGTTATGTACTGTGAGAATGATAGGCCAGCCCGTGTACAGACCAACTCCAAGGTTCAGACCTGGTGACTGGCTCGTAGACAGTCCAGACTGATAGGCTTTGTGAGCACCATCGGCAGCGTCTCTTTAGCCGCTGACTTTTGAGCAAGTTCCAGCCTCGCCGGTCACAGCAGATACCATCGGAACTAGGCGACTCGTGCTGCTGGCGCCTTTCTTTCGTGGAGCCCAGAAATCCCGCTTTTTATTCTATCACTTGCCGCAGTATATCGAGTCAAGAAAACGCCTTGGAAGCCGCTGTCTGACTGAAAGCCTGGCGTGAACTAGGCAACAACAGGTTTGTCAACTTGTTTACATGCCATCTAGAAGAATCTGGCTTGACGATATGCGTGAAATTGGGCAAAATGCCAGAGGTAAACATGGATACGGAAAGAGGAAGAGCGAAAAAGGTGAGAGCTAAAGGGGCAATAAAGGGATAAAGGAGACACAGACAAGCATCAGTTTATCGTATATGAGTTTATACATCATTTATAGCGTGAGGCCAAGTGTAAAGCGTTTGCTTTTTGCCCGCACACCTTGTGCACACCCGCTTTCGTTCGGATGCGAGCTTGCCTATATGTATGTATGTATGTATGTATGTGTATGTGTATGTGTATGTGTGTGTGTGTGTGTGTATGTACCGGCGGAGATGAGCAGATTCATTATATGGTGGTACCGTTTGAGTAGGGGGTAGAGCCTGGCATGATGAGGTCCTCGTTACTACGTCTTCTAGAAGGACGTAAAACACAGTCTCAAACCAAACCCAACGCCACTTCCGAACGAGGCACAGTGACAACATATATTTTACCAGCTCTAGCCTCGCCTTCGTCACCACCACAATCACGGCCACTGCTACCAATAGCCGTCTATTTGACCTTTTCATCGTCGACCAACCTGCCCGTGGCGTCCACCACGGGCACCACGACGACTACCGGCTTCGTGGTGCAACCGGTGCATCGTATTCGCCGCATCGACGCCTCACCTCCTCGAGGGGCCTCGTCTCCCAGTTGCCCCAGGCAACAGCACCACATGCAATAAACACGGCGTCTTCAATACACCCAAGCCGCTGGGGTGTTGTGCTTGGGGTGTTGCTTCAGGCGTCTTTGCAGCCAAGCCGTCATGCAGGCTTTTTCCGCCTGTCCTACCAGGTCTTGTGTCTTGCCTAGCGAACACACGCAGGAAGCGGTACCAATCGATTTGCCTACCGTTTCCATGTTGAGACAAGTGATTGTCGCTTTTCGCCTCTGTCGTTTCTGTCTTATCGTATCACAACAGAGCGGCACGTGTTGGCGAGATTGCAGCAGGGCGAAGGCAAAGGTGAGGGCGAGGGCGAGGGCGAGGGCGAGGACGAGGGTGGAGCGGTGGGTTGAGGAAATCGGCTGAAAAGTCGCGGTGAAACGAGAGGACCGTGTAACTCGTCACCCCGTCTTCTCTAGACACCACTTGCTAATGTTGGAAGGTGTATCTAAATTGGGTAGCACAGCTCTAGACTGGGGAATAATGATGCAGGCTGTTGTTGGTTGACCGCTTGCTGTGCCGGCTCGTCTGCACCGATCCGACTCTGGTCGGCCGATCCGATTGCCTACTTTCAGGCGATAGCTGCTCTTGCCGCGTAGACGATGGCCGCTCCTACGGCAACTAGCTGGCGCCATTTGGAAAAGTGGCTCTGGCGGGTAGCAACGTCTCTATGGAGGACTGCGAGGAGGAGCTAATTGACAACTGCCACAATGGCGCGCCATTCAGAAAATGGTTTTAGGTGAGCATGTCTTGCCACAGTCTAAACACTCGGCCAGTTTCACCGCCCAAAACGGTTTTACATTTCGCCTCAAGCCTCAACGGCACCTCGTGGCGACACGATACAGCAGACATGCCCATCCACAAGTGCCTATAACCTGTGTGAGTATTGTTAGAGGGACCTTCATTTCGTATGAAAGTGCATGAAGAAGAGATTCGTTGGTCGATCTCACC